ATCCAGCTGCCGCTGATCACAGCGTGAGTATAAGTAGGCAGCAGATGCAGCGCATATTCAGGTTTTCGCTGAGGAGCCCAGCCGGTGACCCGGCCGCTCAGCGGTGGCATTCGTCGGTCATCCGACGTGACGTCGAGAGTGACCGACTGAAAGGGAACTTACATTTATCACATTTATCAATATTTATATTTATTCATCAGATCATACTGTTTAATATTACAACAAGGTGCACCAGAGCTGCCTGAGCCCCTCAGAAGAAAAGTTGTTGAGGCGTATGATTGTGAAAAATAGATTTAAAGCTATTTCCAAGCTGTTTACAACCCATCATTCCACTGTACGTACAATAATGCTTCTGGAAATGCTTCAAAAATGCTTCAGGAGGTCAACCATTGAAAAAGGCTGTCCAAATATAGTCTATATGGGAGGTCAGCAAAGACGAAGCCTCTGCTCTCCAAAAAAGAACTGAAGTTTGCCAACTGATACCTACATGAAGAACTTCTAGACAAATGAGTCAAAGGACAGATTTGAGCATTTGAGAATGAGAAACACATACCCACAAGCACAGTAGTGGAAGTGTTGTGGTTTGAGGGTATTTTGCAGCTCCGGGGTTGCAAATAACGTCATAAAACTAACCATGAATTCCACATTATACCAAAGAGTGCTTGAGGACACCATGAGGCCATGGAAAAAAATTGAAACTGAACTGTACATGTGTAACGCCCCTGTGGACTGTTTGTTGTGGTTTCTTCCCTTTGTGTTGGTTTAGCCCGTCTAATCATTAGTTAATCACCGTCATTGTGCTCACCTGTCTGCCTCTAATTATTCACCCCATATTAGTTCCTGTCTGTCTGAGCATTGGGGTCGGTTATTGTTAATGTTACCCCGAGTGTGTGTCTCACCTACCTGAACCTGCCTTGTTGTGTCTACAATAAATGTCATTATTGGAATCCTTGTCGTCCTCGTCGTCCTGCCTGCCTCCACACACCCGTTTCCGTGACAACATGGAACCGTACATTTATTTAATTATTTCAGTATTCCTTTCAGCACAATTAAGTTCAAAGCCAAAGTCTAGATTGTGGTACAACAGAATGGCTGTGATGATACTTGTACAATCAGTGTAAGAGCCTGATGGACAATTATAAGAAACACCTACAAGAAATTATTCCTGCCAAAGGGGGCAAATGCACCTATTTATTATTATTATTATTAGATAATTAATCCAGAGTGTACGCTCTGCGCTTGCGTGAGAGAACATAACTCTCCCATACCAGCAGCTGGCAGTAGTCTGTATTCGGCATTCAAACAGGGAAACCGGAAGAGCTAGAACTGTGGATATACAAAGCAAGCAGCGTTCATTGCGTTCATTCACAGCGTGTAAACCATTGTTTATACCAGCCATGCTCTTTACTGATGGATTCGTGTAGCTTTTTTCAATCATTTCTGCTAAGTTGCAAATGGCACTGGCATTGTCAGTCCTTGGTCTTCCTGTTGTGTATAAAGAAAGAAACAAATGGATAGAATGACAACAAGTGTCTGTGTGTTCTGTCTTTACTCCGTCATTGGTTTGCCTTCGTCAGTTCAGTTTTTTTCTCGTGCACTCATTCACTAAGCTGAATAGCCAATTGTAGTTCTCTTTCTTGCCGACGAGCTCCACTGCTGATTCGACATGCAGAATCGGCTGAAAAAAAGCTGACGGCATCTGACTAGAGCCAACGATGTGGAACATGCCGAAAAAACTAAAGCCGACCAACGCTCAAAAACCACTCGACATTGCCTGATGGCCGACTGTCGGCTTGGTGTGTCGGCTTTATGCTCTCTATGCATTTTTTTGATAAAAAATATAGTAAAACAATAATATTGTGAAATAATATTACAGTTACAATTGCAATTTTAAAATGTAATTTATTCATGTGATGGAAAAGCTGAATTTGAAACAGCCGTTACTCCAGGCTTCAGTTTCACATGATCACAGAAATCATTCTAATATGCTAATTTGGTGCTCAAGAAAAAAAGAAATCTTTATTTATCAGTGTTGAAAACAGTTGTGCTGCTTAATATTTTCATGGAATTTTGAATAGAAAGAAAGAAAAAAACGCATTTAAAAAAAAAAATATATAAATGTTTTGTAATACTGTCATTTTCAATCAGTTTATTGCATCATTGCTGAACAAAAGTATTAATTTCTTTAAAAAAAATAAAAGTAAAATTTGTATTATTATTTGTTAAAGGTAGGGTAGGTGATTATACCACTTTCTCTTATTGATACTGTCCAGATGAAGTTCCACTTGATATGCCCACATGTATTGAAAGAAAAGACAAAACTTTCTGGAGTGTATTTACTTTTTTACAGCTCTGTATATGCACATATGCTAATTAAAGTCATTATATACTGACTCTAATACTAAACATTCACCATTTCTGTATTATACATTTGTAAATTATTTACTTCCATTATAAAGCTGTTTTCCACATAGAGACCTCAAGGACATTTGGTCCTCGCAGAGAAAGCAAAACGCATCCACACCCACACCATGCTTTGTCTGGTATTGAATATTCTCCTCTTTTCCAGGTGTTAGTCTCGGGAAACAGAAGAAGCGTGACCCTGCAACCTCTCCTCTCAGACACAAGGTACAAGATCACAGTGACCCCTTTTTATGCAGATGGAGAGTCCACAGCTCTGGCCATGGCCTCAACCGGCAAAACAAGTGAGTATGAATGAACAAATGCTGCGGGAGTCATAATAAACTAAATACATTATGGGTACTTCTCAAACCCTTTCAAAACAGATGCAGTTATGATACTTACATATTACTTTGGCATAATTGTATAGTTATGGTTTTGAGTTGTCTCCTAGCTCCCTTTTTAGAATTCATAAAATGAACACGTTATTAACACACAACCCTGCTCAACTGATTTGAAATATTAAAAACGTCAACAACTCACACTTACTAAATGTTTAGCATGTTCTTATGCAGCATTAGGAATATTTAGTGTCTAGTTATGCAGAACGACCTGGGTTCAATTCCCAGGCTGAAATAAATTAATTTTTAATTCTGTCTTAATAAATCAAGTAAAAATGCAACACTATGCCATTCATTGTATTAACAGGAGCGTGATCTCATTTAGTTCCATGTTAGTTAGTGATTTCACTGAGTTAATTAATTTGACCTTAAAGCAGTGATAAACTTGGCACTACCTGAGGCAGATTCAATTCTAATCTTAACTAATCGTGAGTTAAAAACATACCTGCTTTTTCCCTTTTTTAAGCTCAGTGAACAGAATGTAACCCCCAAGTTAGTTTTACACAATAGTTTTGTTCTTATGGGACATCTTTTGACTCAATTCTAAATTTGCATAGTAGTATTGTTCATCTCTTACTAATTTCCCGCTTGTCTTATGAACGACATTCCTGATTGTTTTATGTACCAGATGTAGCGCTTATGAGCTGAAAATAGATCCTCTTACATCACAGCACTGAGATATAGTTTATACTCACTGCATTTTGAAGTTGGATGGTCAGTCAATGAAACATTTTACCTATTAATAAGCATAATAAATCTTATGTATTCCAGCCCTGGTGTTCCTACTCTAATGAACTGATCAAACCCGCCTGCTTTCCTCTGATGGGATTGATTATCTACAACAGGGGTGCCCAAACTTGGTCCTGGAGGGCCGGTGTCCTGCAGAGTTTAGCTCCAACCCTAATCAAACACACCTGAACCAGCTAATCAAGGTCTTACTAGGTATACTAGAAACTTCCAGGCAGGTGTGTTGAGGCAAGTTGGAGCAAAACTCTACAGGACATCGGCCTTCCAGGACCGAGTTTGGACACCCCTGATCTACAACTTTCTCCCAGTGATCACCTTCAAATTACAGCCCAGTGTCTGATTAGAAATGCTAATGTCACCTCACACTGAACTTGAGATCAGATGTCTGATAGTTGTCTTGGAAAAACCTTTGCCCTTGTTTCTGATTGAGGTTGAGGTTGAATTAATTATGAGTGGGGTGATATTCTCTGCGGAGGAGTGGTAATTATGTGAAAACAGAGACTTTTCTAAGAGAATGCTAGGAATTCAGGGTAGAACTACAGCCTGTAGCAATAAATAAATAAACACTTGAATTTCTTTATCAATATATTGATGGATTGATTGATTTACAATACTAAAGTTTGGGGCTAGTAAGATTTGTTATTTAATTTTTTCAAAGAAATTAATGCATTTATTCAGCAAGGATACAGTAAATTGACTTTTACATTGTTAAAAAATATATATATTTCAAATAAATGTTATTTTTTTGAACTTTGTATTTATTAAAGAATTCTGAAAAAAAAAAAAAATCTATCACAATATGCACAAAAATATTAAGCAGCATAACGGTTTTCAACATTGATAATGATAAGAAATGTTTCTTGTGCACAAAATTGTGATGTTAGAATGATTTATGAAGGATCATGTGACATTGAAGACAGGAATAATGACTGCTGAAAATTCAGCTTTGCCATCACATGTATCAATTACTAATAATTAATGATTTATTTTGAATTGTAAGAATATTTCACAATATTACTGTTTTTACTGTTTCTTTGATCAAACAAATGCAGGCTTAGTGAGCATAGGAGACTTTCAAAAACATTAAGAAACTTTACTGACCCCAAACTTTTGAATTGTATTTTTTTTAAATAATTGATTAATTGTTTATTATTAATTAATTTGTTTATTTATTCTTTTATTTTTTTTTATACCTGAACATTTGAATGATACAGCATATTGTGCAATTCAAATCACATAAGATTTTATGAAGTTCAATTAACCAGCAATTGACATTAAATAACCACATTGCAAATACTAATCATGATCCTCTGTCTTCTGATTGGTTAGTTCCACTTTCTGGACCCAGTAACCTAAGGGTGTCTGATGAATGGTATAATCGCTTCCGCATCAGCTGGGACAGCCCTCAGTTCCCTACTATGGGTTACAGAGTCATCTACCAGCCCATCTCTACACACACACACACACACACACACACACACACACACACACACACACACACACACACACAGGTATTCCTATCATCATGGTGCAATTCATAATGAAGTTTGTGTAATGGTTTTTATACTGTACAAACTGTATTTGCTATCCCGTTACCCTACCCCTACCCTTAATCATTATAATAAAAAAAATAAAAAAACTTAATTCAGAAAGATTTATACATTTGTTTCCTCATGGAGAACAACAAAAAAAAGCCCCCACAAGGTCAAAATTTACTGGTATTACTATACTTGTGGGGACATTTGGTCCCCAGAATGTAGGGAATACCAGTACACACACACACACACACACACACACACACACACACACACACACACACACACACACTTATCATAACCCTCCACAGTCTATCTGCTCATGAATGGATGTCTGTACGATCCCATGTAAATGTGCTGCATAATTCAGCATTAGATTCCAGACATACAGGTACATGAGGTATGCAAATAACTTTAGCAAAAAAGTTTTGAGACTCTGGAGACATATATAGACAGGTAGGATGAATAATTAGCAGCTTGTTTGAAAGGGCATTAAATGTAGGTTGACATACTGTCTCCACGTCTGCTGCTCTGATTATGACTGTTCTTCCATCTGCAGTCTGAGATTCGACTGTAAACAGAAGCACTAATGTGGCTGCAGCACACCAGAGGGAAAAATATAACACTCCTCTGTTTTCCACTGAAGTCCAGCCCAATAAATTCTTTTATATGATCTTAAACTCCCATCTGCGGTGGAGAGAAATGGCTTCTCCAACTACATTTAATGCCCTTCCAAACTGCTCCCAACAGCTGCTAATAATTCATCCCAGCACCGGTCATTTCTACTGTCCAGAGCTCATTTTCTGTGTCTGTGTGTGTTGTTGAAGGGGAGGGTTCACTTATTCTCATATCATTTCACATCTAGTTTTCCCAGTCTTTGTGATGGTTATAGTGTAATGCTATGATTGTAAGTGTTTGTGAAATCCACCTACTCTTTTCCTGTGTCTTTTTTTAGTTAAGTCTGTGATTTTGATGTAGAGAGGCCTCATATGTATAGATGTTTAGTTTGTGAGGGCCAGAAAAAAGCACTTTAGTTTTTGGAGTTTGTTCCTATGAGGTATGAATGTTGAAAAAACAACAACAACAACATTTTTTTGCTTAAAGGGACATAAAATGTAAAATAATTTTAAAGAATTGAATGTACTAAATACAATAGACATACTTAGACATTCACAGCCCAAACTCCCTTCCCAGTCCACCCAGAATATTTAGTAAGCTGCAAAAACATGTTGTTCAGAATTAAAGGGATGGTTCACTGAAACAAATTATTTGTTTCATAGTCAAATCTTTTCAAAGACTCAGTCGATCAAGTTCACAAACCTGTCTGATTGATTCATTCATGAACTGAGCTTGAGTTGAGTTGATAGCTCAATAACTCAGTGATCCGGTTGACTCATTAGAAGGGAAGATTTCCAATGAATAACGATGTAAATTCTGTAAGGAACAGACAAAAATGTAGTGCCATTTGAAATTTTTCCCTTCAGAAGACTTGAAATATAGTACACGTACAACCTATGGGGTCAGTAAAATTCATCCTAGAAGAATCCTAGAAAAAATGAATCATAGTTTCCACAAAAATATTAAGCAGCACAACTGTTTTCAACATTGATAATGATAAGAAATGTTTCTTGAGCACCAAATCAGCATATTAGAGTGATTTCTAAAGGATCGTCTGACACCGAAGACTGAAAACTGTTATTTTAAATTGTAATAATATTTTACAGTATTTTTACTGTATTTTTTTTTAAACAAATAAACTTCTTTCATAAACATAAAAAAATCTTACCAACCTTAAACTTTTGAATGGTAGTGTATCTTGTGGACCATTTTATAGTTTTTTCTTTTCTTTTTTTTTGTATTTTTGAAGCTTGAAATCTTCAGTTCCCATTTATTATTGTGCACGGAAAATAATAAATAATGAAAATTTTATTTCATTTTGTGTTTCACAGAAGACAATCAGTCATGTAGGAACAACATGAGAGTGACTAAATGCTGACATTTTTTTAATATATAATTTTTAGGTGAAATAATCGTGTAACATAAACTAAGCTACTGTCTTTCACAATCAAAATAGTAGTAATTTACATATAGAATTTTTAATTGTATCAATAGTAAAAACAACTGATTTAAAACTACATTACAACTTGACTAATATTATAAGTGTTATAATATTATAAGTGTACTTCCAGGGAAAAAAAGCTAATAACGGCCCTTTAAATAGTTAACTTTTTTTGCACATTTTTCCTGTAAGGTTGCTGCGATTGTTTTCAGCTCTTGTCTCGCTCTGTGCGCAGTGCCAGGTCCGGCTCTAGAGACGTTTGTAGGGGATGATGTGAACACCCTGCTGATCCTCAATCTGTTGAGTGACACGGAGTACAGCGTTCAGGTCATCGCCTCCTACACCACCGGCTCCAGCCAACCCCTCACCAGCAAGGGCAAAACATGTGAGTCTCTGCACAAATACACACCTAAACATAATTATCTAGTACACACGAATCTGCACGCTGCCCAGCGTGAGATCTCTACACTATTCCCAACAGCCCACCATCATTTTGCTGCACCATCACATCAGATTCACAGATGTAATTTGCCTCCTGTGTGATTATCCTTGCTAATACTGTTTCTTGATAATATGCAACAGCGATAATATCGCTACGTAAGCGGACTGGCGAGAACTGCCTCTTTTGTCTGTTAATGAAACTTGAAGGTGCTCTTTGATAGGCAGCCAGCTACACATATATCAATATTCAGACAGACAGCTCCAGTAATGACAGTCCTTTGCATATAAATTTGATATCGCCAGGTACATCACAAAGTAATACCTGTTTTAGCGATTCTCATCAAAAAGCAAACAGATTATGTTTTCTCAGGAAGTGCTGAGGCCATCCATCAGAGCACCGTGGTGTCACCATGCCAATATCAGTCACCACGGTCTTGTAGTCAGATAAACAGGCACAATGCTTACAACACCTGCAACTGACAGAGCGCTATCTCAGAAAAAAAAACATTTCTTATATCATAATATATAACAGGAAGCTAAGGCATGTTATATAAAATCTGTCATCAGGGTTCTTCCTGTTACTTCCACAATCAAGGGTGTAAACGATACTGAGGTATTTTATGTAAGTTTAAGTATGAGTGTTAAGATTTCTTTAATTAAATCATTGCCTTTTCAAGTTTAATCATCACACCAGAGTATATTGTGACTCCTCTAATTTTTGGCCCCGAATTATAGACCTCTTGATAATATATAATAAGACTTTTTATACTATTTTAGATATTTATGACTTTTCATTACTTTAAATGTTGACCCCCCCCCCCAAATTTAAGGCTTTAAGTACACAGAACAAACATTTTATTTTCACACATACTCCTAAATACATTTTTTTACACATTTTTAAAATTTTTACACATTTTACAGTTACACATATCAATTTTTAGTCACAAATGTGAGTGAAATGCTTTATATAATATATTTTTAGATATTAGAATGTTTTATATTGATTACTTTACTATAAAATGGTACTAAATTTGACGTGTAACAATTCAGGATGTTTGATACAAATATTGATGTTCTCTAAAGCCTTTCATAGTCAGAATATTGAGAAAATTATAATTGAATTGATTTTTGAAGTTTGTGCAACATTAGTTAGTAGTCCAGTAGTGCAAAATTACCCCAAATAATACTTAAATATAGTTATCAAGTACAATTACTATACAAGTATTTTACACGCGCACACAGTTTCCTTCAAATTAGATTAGTGATGACTGAGCAGAATCTAGCTAGAGACAGTTCACTAAAGGATAAAGACTACTGACACAAAAAGTCTGACACATTGCCAAGGGTGTCATGCCTTTTTTTAGGGGTCACTTGTGGCAGTGCTGCCTCACTTGGTGAAAGAAAACACATGACCAAACAAAAAATATATATTATGTGGAAATAGGGCTGTCGCGATAACCGCAATATCGCAATACCGCGCTATTGACGAGCAAACTGCAGAGGAATGCAAGAAACGCAGCAACCGCGATTTTTGCGTGTTTTCTTTTTTCGTAAGGTTATGCTCGTTTTACACTTCATGCATGTGGACTATTCAACAGCGTGTTTCATTACGTCTCTTTGAATGAATGAATCAGCGGTTTTGAACGTGTAGTTGAATGACAGTCCCTTTGTTTATTACAGGCGCAACACTGTAACTGCACTGACTGACAGCCCGTCTAGAACGCGCGCAGGTGGAAATATCAGTAGAAAGTCTCTTGTCCAGTCAGATTAGAAAATCAGATTACAACTAGGCTAACTGTTATACATATAGGCTAACGATAGCCTAACGATCTTATTGTCAGGTTTATGTTCTGTTATGTGGACCGTTATTTTGTCATTCTCTTCTGTTTACTTCACTTCCTGTTTCAACGCT